TTACTTTGTATTTTTGTCTTATCTATATTTTCTTATCTTAAAGGTTACTGAAACGTCTCTTATTGATATATTTATTATTAATATGATACACCATAATGACAATCTGGGACATTGCTCTGTGTTTGTGGTCATAAAAAGCTGGACTCAAATAAAAAAACTCCTATTCTCCAGGTCTAAGTCCATGGAGAGAATTAAGCTGGACTGTGTCAGAAAAGGACCTTAACAAAGGATGGATGTTTCCTGCAGTGAAGAAAAGAGAGGTAGTTAGCATTTGAGAATGAGAGGAAGCCCAGCGAGAGGAGACATCCACAGAGAGGAAGGCCATCAAGCCATCTCAAAATATACCCCAAAGAATGGTTTTGATTGTGGGGGTCCTGAGAGCTGCTGCCTCAGGGTGGTCATTGTGGCTAAGCCTCCCATGGAGCCAGCGCCTTTAATGGATCAGGAAGACAGGAATGTTTATTCAGGACATGGAACAACCAGGAATAAGGGCCTGGCTTTGCCCCTGTCCTTCTCCCTTTCTTTGTAATATTTGATTTCTCACTGATTAACTCATTTAAGACTTTTGTCCTGCCTGGATTGGAAAAATATAGACAAATACTATTTCTTTTACTTCTTACCTGATGGAAGAGAAATAGTGACAAATAACTGAAAAGTTAAAAGTGTACAGGATACTCAGGTGAGCTCATTTATTATTCCTGGAGTTAGATATCAATTAAGGTTGTATTCCTAGAATAAATGAACCAGTAACGTGCTGAACAACAATGCATCCATACTCCTATCTTCATTGAAAACAATGAAGATTGAGAAGAAGGCTTGACATGTATGAGATGTTTTAGGCCTCGGGATATCAGGGAAAGATTGTCTGATAAGGATGGATTCTAGCTTGCACTTTCCCCAATTAAAGCTGGAGAAATGGTTTTGAGTAAAATTATAGGTGAGACCTGGTTCTGCAGCACAGTTCCAGGAGAAATCTAGAACAGACACCCTCCAAGTTCAGGCTCACTCTTATAACTAAAGTTAAGAGTCAGGTTGTTCATTCAGCCATAACTGTAATGTTGGCATAGCAATGGGCACCCATCTGTATGTACAATGAATATATGTCAATGAAGATGTTAAATATTAAAAAAAAAGATTGCTGACTATAGTGAGACTGCCAGGAGGCTTGAGTGAGACTGGATGGGGAGCACATTTTACATATGTTCCTGATACTGGTTTCATAGGGCCGTGCACAGTCAGAGATTTATGTGTTGGTTATAAAACCAATCCCATTACTTCATATAATCCTTCATCGTTCCTTTATCTTTTATGTGAGCTTCCTGTGGATGCTCATATGAAGATATCAATTAATTCAATGAAAAAGCTTTCATTATTGATATCCAGATGATTAATTATATAAGTGAAGTGTCCACTGTAATTGTGGAGGAGTAGTCAGTGCAGGTGGGGTTGACTTGGCAAAGGAAATGGCATTTGAAGGCAAACATTAGCAGAGTCTAATGTAACTTTTAGATAAGCTCTTCCATATTTCAATAGTCTGCTCTGACTTCCCCTCAAGGATTCATTAGAATAAAGATTGTGGTCCTGCAAAGTCACTGACATACTGACTCACTCATTTTGCGTCTGGAACACAGGGGGTTCAGTGGTGTGAGCTTTACCAGGACTTTAAAGGAAAAGGGTAATAATACCCTTCTTGTTAGATGCAATACCTGTGGGTGAATTTGAGAAAAAACATTTAGATGAGCTGGATTGCTTTTGGCCTCTATAGTCCCTTCATTTCCCATTAACTAAAGCCAGCATTTTTGTCTCCAAAGGTACATGAAGCACTCCATTGAGTGACTGTGATTGCTGGACTCTGTCTAACTCTGACCATATGATTCCCATCATGCATCTCGTTGCTGATAAAATATGGTTTATTGTAACTATTTATTGTTACCATAAATATTTATTCTATCTATACAAAGTATTTCCATATATTTCTGTTTTACTTTTTTCATGTCTCTGTTCTGAGCCCAAGCATTGATTGCCTTTTTATGTCTTATACCACCCATTTCGTGTGGGGGAAGATACTGTTTTCTCCATTTTAAATATGAAGCATAAGGAGCTCAGGCAAATTGCCCAAGGTTAAGTAGATAGTAAAATGGAGCTTAAGTTGAACCCACATCTGCCTCATTTCAGAGGCCAAATTTTAAATATTATACTGACTTTGGAACTATCCAATCACTAACTTGCCTAACAGTACTCTGAAATATCTCACTCTATCTTTAATTTTTTGAGCAGAACTTAAGAACTTTCAATTTATTGCTTGATAAATTCTTGCCTTGCATTCAACTGCATCTCCTTTGGTGCAGTGTGGGCTCCAGAACAGACACTTGTTCCCACCTGACTGCTACACCACAGTCCAAGAAATGTGTTTGGCACGATATAGATATTGAATAAATGCTTGGTGAATAAGTGGGGAAATTAGCAAGCCATTGCTTTTCTAGATTCACATTGCTTCCAGGTTCAGAAAAAAACTGGCTTGCATGTGCAAGTGTGGAACAACATAGAAAATCTGTAACAGAATCAAGACCCTAGCAAGCATGTTATAGCAACCTCCATGAGAAGCTGTTACTTTCTCTGAGTATTTTGAAGACAAGGGTATGAGGAGAACATGGAGAATGTTCAAAATCTAAGAAACAAGACATTAAGGTGTATGTAGAGAAGAAGTCCTTCTGTATACCTCACTGTGAAGAGGTACATCTGACCATCATGTATCCCTCTTCAGGATCCCTCAGCACTTGGAACTGACTAGTAGCATAGCCTTTTTACCTCCTGTATCTTTTTTCATTTACCTCTCAGACACCCCCTTCTACCCGCGAGAACTTTGACACAGGAACCAGGATGGTCTGAGAGTGAGTTTCTTTCAGGTAGGGATTCACTCTTATTTATTATTGTGCTAGCATAATGCCTGTAACTGGTGACCCTCAGTAAATGTATACTATGTTGTAAATGCATATTGAATAAATGAAATGGATTATTAATTTATTTAAAAGCAGTTTGAATTTATATTTATAGTAAGCAACTGTAATAGTTAACGTGGTCTTGGATAGCAATAATAAAAATATAGTCTTTTTTTCCTCAATGTATACAAGCTTAGAATTATGAGATTGCGTGACTATAGATGAGAAACTAAGCTCTAAGATGTGAAATGACTTGCTCAGGGTTCCACATCAGATTTGTGGGAAAAATGATTCTTAAATTTGCTTTCTGTGAGTTTTGCTGTGTACTGTACTGATCAGATGACATGACTTTATTAGACTGTGCCATTGAGCCCTACACTTTAATAGTTCTATTGACAGAGTCAAGTTCAGACAGGACAGAATGATGCAGATGCCTGAAGAATGTGGAAATTGTGTCATATGAAGTGCAGAAGAGGACTTTAAGGATGTTTGCTTGGAGAAGAAAACACTTGGCAGTGTTCTGGAGTAGGTGGGTAAACATGAATTCTGTCTTTGTATTATAAATATATGTTGTTCTTTTGCTCTGCAAAGAAAAGTAGGAGTCAAGGTGAAAAAAAAAAAAACCCACAGAAAAGTGAGGAAGAACTGTTTAAATAAGTAGAATTGTGCTAAGTATGAAATCAGAAATGGTAAGCAATGTGCAGGTAGAGCCTGGATGATCATGTCAGTACTAGATTGTGAGTTTCTTTAGATCAGACACCACATTTTATTAGTATTTTCCCCCCGGAACTCAAATAGTGCCTAGCACATAGTGTCTGCTGACTTAAGATTCATTATGCAAGCTTTAAAATGATTTGTTCATGGGGCATATGAGCATAGATGTGGGCAGAAGGGTACTGAGGCCTTTTCCAACACTTAGGTTTATGGTTTTTGATAATTTACATATAGTAATGCATTAACATCTAGCAAAGTAAGTCATTTCATATTCTTACAGGCAAAGGTCAGTGGACTGAATCTTTTAAACCTATGCATCTCTACAGGTAGGGCATATTTTTTTCTTTTAGGACAAGGAAGGGTTTATTTGCCACAGCTACTATCATACAAAGAATACCAGAGTGACTTATATCTCTGCACATGTTAAACTAAGAAACTTCCATGCAGAAGTTTAGAAGGAATTTATCACATACAATATCAGAGGACTGATTCACAGGAACACTTGAGTGATGGTTATGTCAATAGGTTTATACTTTTCAAATTTGTGACTAACCTAGAAAACCACATTTTTCTAAGTCCTAAATCTTGTTTAGATTGTCACCTTTATTTATATGTTAACAATATCTTAAATTTCGCCTCCAAAACCTTGCTTTTTTCATTGACTATTTTATATCCAGAGCATTTTGATTTGATGTGTTTTTTTAAACAAAGGATGGGATGCCATTTCTTTTAGTCCATGCAGAAATCATTTGAAGGAGACAAAGAAAGCTTTATTTAAGTTATCCATATGAGCCACAGGAGCTACTCAAAAGGTATATGATAATAAAGAAATTATTTGATTTGATATTTCATCTTATTCTTTGAGAATTTTCACAATTTACTTTCCCCAAGCAAAGTGGTAATACTTTGCTCATATCTGATAAAAATTAACAATAGCTTTCTGCTGAGGTCCTTCAGATTCAAGGGAATTTTCTTTCTTATCATGTAAAATATGCTCACAACATTTCTCCATTTTCAAGAAATACTGTCATTGTCTTAGTTCACTTTCAAATCACAGTGCTTCTTCAGCCATAAAGTTATTCATGTGGGTATCTGTTTACCTAGCTTCTTTTCAATGAGTATATACTATACATGTAACAAAGTTCTAAGAAGTCACAATTTTGATTTTTTCACATTTATTTGTTCAATTAAAAATTTCTGCTAGCTGTTAATTCTACTCACATGAATAGAATAGATTTTGCCATCGTGTACATGCCTAGTATGTGCCTTACTCAGATCCTTTGGCTATATGCACATAACTGAGAAATTCTGCACTGTTTCCCAAATAAAAACCAGCATCTTCTTTTACATTCTGATTTGAGTTATAAAACACTTTCTCCCCCCTTCTTTTATTTAATTTATATGCGAGATATTTTTCTGCTGTGGGAATGAAAATGGAAGACAGGGAAGAAAGTAGATGAAATAGAGATGATTCAAAGATCTGAAATACTTTTTGTTCACTCAATAAAGAAAATTGTCTTTCTCTTTCCCAATAACCATCATTTCCCTTGATCTTGGAATCACTCAAAACCTAACTACTGAATCCTGTACAAACTAATATGTCATCTGAAGATGTGCAGAAAGAAGCAATACTGGTACCTGTGTAGATTGTACTAGATGGACTATATTTACAGTTATGAAATACTGCAAATTTAAGAATGCCATTTTTTCTCATCACTGAGTATTTATTATATATAACAAATACATGGGAAAGAAAAAACTATATTGTGTGATATAAATAGTTTATTTACATTACAGAAAAACATCAAGACAATGTATACTATTTCAAATATATCCATACATAATCAAATATAGCTGTAGTACATGTTTTCATTGGTGTAGATTACCACAAATGCAAGGCAACATGTGTAGATCTCTTGTCTTATTCTTTTGTTTATAATACTGTATTGTGTAGTCCAAGCTGTCGGTAGTCCGGCCACTGTGAAACATGCTCCCTTTAGATTAACCTTGTGGACGCTCTTGTTGTGTTGTCTGAACTGTAGTGCCCTGTATTTTGCTTCTGTCTGTGAATTCTGTTGCTTCTGGGGCATTTCCTAGAAGGTTGGAAAGTTTACAAATCTTAGTCCAATGTGATTACCTGTAGTTTGGTCCTACAGTCACAGAGTGAAGCTGCAGGGTTAGCAAATTATTAAAGTATTTCAGATGGGAAAATTGATTACTAGTAGAATCTGGGGTTACTTTGTAAAAGTTATTTTTGCTTCTCCTTGGAGTTGTCTTTAGGCTTCTGTTGAGATTTGAAGAACAGAAGTGGAAGTTGAAGAGTAATACATTTACCTTGCCCTCTACTGGTCATTCCTCAATTCAGTTCATTTCATTATGCAATGAATAGACTTTGCACAATGCAAGCAAGCAAGTCATGAGCTCATCGCATCTCACTTTAAAGGTCTTCAGCAAACTATGTCTTAAATGCCTAAATGATGAATGTTATATTGACATTTTAATGCTACAAGTTAAAATCCTACAATATCAGAACAAACCAAATGATAATATCCAATCTGTAAATGGAAAGGAATATTGCTTTGATTTAGCCTAATCTTTTTTTGCATTAATACTATAAGCTAGAGATATAATTGGTACCTATCACGTAACTTTTCTAAAACGCTAATATTCAATCAATTATCTAAAAATCTCTGATTTGGTATTCTTATCTTACAATGAGATTTTTTTTTGATCATGCAAACAAGAACAATATGAAGTTATTATATTATATTACAACAAGGGATCTATGGAACACTGGGAAATTTATATCTGAGTATACATACATATACATATACATATATAGAAAGTGTGTGTGTGTGTGTGCATGTGTGCGTGCGTGTGTGTGTAGTTTGGGGGTGAGATATCTGTCAAAATGAACATGGAACTGGGGAATCCCAGTCTCAGAAAGTGGGAGATAGAGATAAAAAAATGATAATCCAGCTGGGTGTGGTGGTGGTTGCACAAGCCTTTAGTCCCGGCACTCAGGAGGCAGAGGCAGGCAGATCGGACCTCTGTGAGTTTGAGGCCAGTGTGGTCTATATAGCGAGTTCTAGGTCAGGCCAGCTGGGGCTACAGGGAGACCCTTTCTCAAAGATACCAAAAGGAAAAAAAAAAAAAAAAGAGAGAGAGAGAGATGAAAATCCAACTTCTCAACAGGACAATTCTTCATTGTGGAACATATCTATATGGGTATTCATATTTATGACATATTCCTAAGAAGGCAGGCTCTTGAAAAAACATATAAACAGAAAAATGAGGACTGAATTAGGCAGAATAATAGATTGAAGAGAAAAAAATTAGAGCAAACAAGAGACCAGGCGAAAAAGACATGAAGAAAAAATTGAAGAGAACAGGCAGATCCACGCTAGGTGTAATTCTGTAAATATTCTAGCACGTGAGTATTGTGGACTAGGTCTTGACAAACAAGGGTTGCCAGGCCATAGGGAAAGCAAGGTTTCTGGGAAGTTGGAGAAGGGCTTAGTTATGGAGTCTGTTTTGTAAGCAGACTGTTCCTTTAAAAATATTTTATTTATTACTTTAATTTTATGTGAATGAGTACATTGCATGGATGCATGTAAGTGCACCCATATCATGCAATGCCCATGGAGTTCCAAAGAGGGCATTGGGTTCCCTGGAACTGGAGTTGTGGATGGTTGTTAGCCACCATGTGGATGCTGGGAACCAAGCCCAGGTCCTCTGCAAGAGCAGCCAGTGCTGTTAACCACTAGCCATTTCTTGAGGCCCCTGGTCTCTGTTCTTGAATGAATGGAATGAATTGAATGAATAACCTGAGAATTGGTGTGGTGTATTGATTCACATAATTCCTGGAAAGTCTTTGGAAGTTTTGGTCCAACCTTATAAATCCAAAAGATTGATAAGATGCATTATAATAGTGCTAATTTATTTGATGTGCTATGTCTCTTACTCTCAAGCAGATAGAGAATAAGTTTTGTTTAGTTCTGGCATGAAAATGAAATTAAAAAGCCATATACCTTGAAAATATAGCAAAATAGCTTACTCTAATTTGGAGCTTAGCATAGGTAGTCCACAGCATAAGAACACTCAAAATCATGACCAGCTGGAGGCAGAAGGAGCAGAGGTCAAATGCAAAGGCTCTGGAGTCAGACAGCCTGGGCGCCATTTTGTCCTCCGTACTCAGCTGCATAAGATCAGCAATTTGATGCATTTTTATACATCAAGGTCTCTATCTTGAAAGTAAGGATAACTGTTCATTCTTTGTTACATTGTGAAGTGCATATACATGTGCATTTGTGCACAAATACAAGTAAATATATAAACACAATTACAACACATAAATACACAATTTCTGGTAAAATAGTCTCTATGTTCCATTTGTTTTTATTATGTATAGGAGTGTAGCTGTGATTAAAAGCATATTTGAAGACACTGTCTGAAGTATTTAAAATCTGGCTTTCCTCAATATGTGAGCAGCAATTAAATTGTTATGGTATTATAGCTATTAATTATGAGTTTTATTTTTTAATGTTCTTTGATTGCCTGTATAACAGGAAGCCTGAGATCCTTAGACAAGTATAGAAAAGTTTTCTGTGTTTTAGTTTCTTTTCTATCTTTTTTTATGCTCACTATTTTTGGTTTGTCAAGTTATCTTTATGTTCCCCACATCTATTTTCATATAATCCAATGACTCACTTGGCTTTAAACATGAGAGTCCAGTTGATGAGCTCAACTTAGTTTGGAGCAGCACAAAGCTCCAGTCACTGATCTTCCCTTAAGTCCTTAGGCCAGGCGAGGATTTATGAACCACATTTTGTCTTTCTCAAGAGCAAATGCCACACTTGTCCTCAGAGCAGACAGTGTAATACCTACCAATGCTGAGATGCATGATGGCCTCTACTTTCTAATGATAAGATACTTCTTTTATTTTTTTCACTTAAAAAAAAAACATTTTGGGGAAATATTCTGATTTACTGTACAGCGGTAAAAAATTAATGAAAGTCTAAATATCTTTTTGGATTTTGTAAAAATCTTAAAGAACTTCTTTGGAACTTTTTAAAGGAGAGTGAATTCAGGATGCATATAGACTATGCATTAGATTCACAGACTGTCAGGTGTCTGCATGCTCAGGAAGACAAACAAATCTGTCCTCACTCTTCAATTCAAAAATGAACCTCAGACACCAGTTAGCAGTTGTGGTTTGATTTCTTGCTGAAACTGTATGAAACCTCTCTTCTCTTTCAACTTGGTTCTCCATGAAAAATTACCTTTTGATTGGACTGGGAATTTGCTATAAAGGTGTGTTATGATATATATCAAAAGTTTCATTTATTGTAACACAATCTTTCTCATTGCAACTAATTTTATTTTGTGATTAGAATTTATCTTATCATCTTAAAATAAAAAAGTATTGTTGTTTACACCTACTGTGTTAAAGCTGATGATATCTGACAGTTTTACTTGTAAACATAAATTCTATAAATGATAGCTATAATTTAATCATTCCAATGCCTTATGTAAAATCTACTATGCTCTTATTTGGCATACTGAGGTTGGTAAAGATCTATTGATCATTTAAATAGGCTTGTTCACAATCTGAGTCAAAACTGTACTTTTATAGCTAAAAGAGAAAAGTCTATTTAAACAAGGGTTGGCATTATATGGCAGAGATATAGGAAATAATTCTCATCATAACAAAAAAATAAGTAAAACAATTTGTGCCAGTCCAATAGGAACACCCATGCCTTTCCTCTTGGCTATTCAAATACTCTTACGATGAGGAGACAGGACTCATGGACAAAGGATGGTTACAGAGCATCAAGAGACTCAGAGTTACAGGAAAGGAGGACTGGTGCTTCCCTTTGTTTGGGTAGCTCCCACATAAAGTTACTGACCTTGTGATGCAGAGGACCACCACACAGATGACAGCAATCTGAATTGTTCCAATCACAGCTGCAATCAAGACGTACTGAAATCGTACAGGACCAGGAACAACGTAGAGAACACTGTAGTCCTTTTTTTCACAGTGTTGTCCAGTATAACCAGCATCACATCTGGAAGAAATTATAACATCCAGTTACTTCTGGTCCATAACTCTTTTAATTATTTTCTTAACCTAAGTGAGCATGTATGCTTATTGTTTAAGAACATGGTACAAAAAATAAGGTTAATTTTTAAAAAACATCATCTATACTATTGTTACAATGTTAAAAAATATTAAAATCAGAGATACAGCAAATGCCATTTCTTAAATTTTCTGGAAATAAAGCCATTTGTTTTGGAAAGATTCATTTTGTCAGAAAAGTTATGATGTAGGCAATGCAAGTATGCAAACCGAGTCAGCATCAGTCTTCCTTTCTTAAATTGGATCCCTTTGACTGAGTCTCTTGATGGTCTGTAACCATCCATTGTCTGTGAGTCCTATCTCCTCATCATAGGAACACTTGAACAGCCAAGAGGAAAGGCATAGGTTTTCCCATTGGACTAACACAAATTGTTTTGCTATTTATTTATTTATTTATTTATTTATTTATTTATTTATTTATTTATTTATGGTTATGATGAGCATAGGCTTTCTCTGAGAATGAATGGCCCTCCTTGCCCAGCCAGCCTCCCAATCAGACATTCAGGTAGATAATCTGCATACTGAAATTAACCCCCATTACAGAAATATACTAAATGGGACCAACATGTCATTCTGTTGTGCTTTTACTCTAGCACTTGCTTTGAATTTCTTGCAACTGTACCCTGAGTTCTTTGCTGTGTGTATCTAAAGGGTTTAATTGAATAACTCTGCTGAGGAAGGAGAGGCAGTAGCGTTCTCTCAGTGTTATGTTTGCTCTGTCTGGTTTTATGGGAAGGCAGGCACTAGAGCACTGTGAAAGGAAACAGGTAAATAAGACAGTTTTAAGTAGAGGGGAGAGAGAGAGAGAGAGAGAGAGAGAGAGAGAGAGAGGGAGAGAGAGAACAAACAGTACTGCTGTTATCTATATATCATAATGCAATTTATTTCATCTATGTGCTAGTTGTAAATTAATTTAAATATAAATACACTTTCCTTTTCCATTTTCACTTTTCCATTTCAGAAATAATTACTATATGTTCTAGACATGCATACTCAGCAGGTATTTATAAAGTAAACCCAGACAAGCAATTTCTTTGTGTCTCTTCTGAGTATGAAACTGTGGATATACGTCTACTAATCATCTTATGACGCAAGGCTCCGTACAGAGCAGATGTATAGCAGAGAGAGAATGCCAAACAAAGCCAAGAATGATAATATTTAGTAGACAATCTTGAAGATTTTGGAAATGATGGCCTCTCCAAAGTAACATTCACCTATTTGAGAACTGCTTAGTGAGAAGTGCTAAACATGGTTCTATGTTCAGAGGAAACAGTAGTGAGAAACAACAAGTAGCCTGTGTCTTTAAAGATCTTATGCAGAGTACAATATATCAGAAGCGTATAAAGTCACGTGTTGCATAGAATTTGAGTGTGTAAGGCATATATGCATCTTATGATTTACATGTATGTGAGTGTATGTAGGAGAAGCAGAGAAATTTTGCTGCTGGCCACTCATTCTAGTAGATTATCAGCCAATCCTCCATAAACACTTAAAATTCAGTTTCTGCATTTTCACTTCACACATTTAAAAGGTTTAAGAGGGAAAACATTACCTGCAAGACGGCTCCTGCATATTGATGGAGTGTTCACACTTCCCGTGCATGCAGAAGCCATTGAAATGTTCTGGGCAAGGTATGTGGTGTTCTCTGGCACTTTCTTCTAATTTGTTAGCATTTTCTGTGAATACAGATAAAAGCAAGCACCCCCTGTAAATGCGTTCTCTGTGCAGTAAGATCAACCAGTACATTAAGAAGCAAAGCTACAGTAGGTGAACCTATTTAAAAGGGTAAGAACTAAAAGGCCGTGATTCAGAAGAAAGGGGGAGAAAGAATTGAAAGATGGACGTCTTTACAATTATGTTTAGAGAAGAAACTGCAAAATTATCCAGTGCTTTTCATGCTTTTATGTAATTTCTTACATCTTTAACAGCCAGTGATGTGTCCATGAGCTGTCAGCTTTAATTTTCCTTGCATGGAGACTGTACATTGATCATAAAATAACCCAAGAAGAAATAGTCTATTTTTTGAATTTCAAAGTCCAGCATAATGCCCCTGAGACTAAATTGCTGAAATACCTTGATACTTTCTCAACATGAGAGCTTAAAAGTTAAAATATGACCATGTTCAATTGTTAAACATTTTCCAAACCAAATGCAAATTTCAACAAATGCATTCTGTCAGGCTTTTAAAAAAATATGCTGTGAATGTGATCTTTTGACTAGCATACATATATTTTTATTGCCACAACAAAGCAATTGAAAGACCAAATGTTGTTTTAGAATCACTTATGTAGACAGTCACACAGTACACACTCAATGTTTAAGCATATTTTAGTACATGCTAACTGGTCTGTGTTGAGAATGCTTTGGGAAATTTACACTTAAGATAAAGAAAACACTTTATACCCTAAAATGAAACCCCTTCCATTGTCATTAGCAAGTTTTGTTTCTTAATGGTCTTATAAAGATATTTATATATTTTCTGGTTTTTATTTGTTCAAATATATTTACTTCCTTTATATTTGTAATACCATCTCTAAGTAAATGGTTGCCTGATTCCTTATATGTCCATTTTATAATGAAAAAAGTTTGGGGATAAAGACATGACTCAGTAAGCAATGGTTCTGTGCAAGCATGAAGACTTGAGTTTGGATGCCAGCATCTATATGAAAATCTGGGTGTGGTCCCATGCATGCCTGTAACCTCCGCCCCTGGGGGCAGGGTGGAAGGAGAAGATTTGCTCCTACTTGTGGGCTTCCCCTTTTTGATTTAGGTTCAGTGAGAAGCCCTGCTTCAAAGGAATAAGGTAGAGAGTGACAGAGGAGAACATGTGACAGCCCCCTCTGGCCTATTCATGTGCGTGCACATCTGTACACACACACACACA